ATATTGAATCCTGTCTCGTTCAATTATATTCCAGTTGTCCCAATCGAAATTGTGATGCTTATCTACACTATGTTTTTGTATAGCTGATTTTTCTCGAGGAATAGATGCTTCTTTGAAAGTATATTCATTAAACATATCATCATCGGACACCTCCATTTGTTTGATCTGATGAGTAATGCGCTTAGAAGCTTCAGTTTTAGCTATTCTCGACCAGTGTGACCTCATCGAATGATTTAAATCAGTTGTGTTGCTCTGTGGCTGGGATTGTAAAGTGATAGGTGACTCTGATAAAAGATTCTGCAGAGAATGCCTCGGTAGACCCTGCTCTTCAAGTCGTCTAATAGCTTGGCGAATAGTCTTCCCAACATAGTTTGATAGGCACTCTTGGCATTCCACCCCATACACAATGTACGATTGTAAATAATTGGGTATTTTATCTTTAAGATTAAAAGATGTTTGTACCGAGGGTGGTGGTTTTTCAATTACTAATAGCTCAATATCAGGTCGAATCTAGGTACTGACCTTCCGTCGATCATTTTTAAACGCTTTAGTAGCATTGTTAATAAATGATACTCAATATAAATTTTCTTCGTTTCATTATTATTACTCTTATTATTGATAGTAGAACCAGTGTACCATTTACTCAATTTCATTCCAATTAGTTTCTCAACGAACGAACTAGGATAACCATTCTTGTTTGTTATTTCTCTAATATTGTTTAATTCATCCTCTAGCAAAATGTATGTAGAACATATATGAATTGCTCGATGAATCATTCCAGTAATTAAATTTGTTTTAAATTAATAAGCTATTAATTTAAAACAAATTTTATTGAAAATGGAAACTAAGTACAAACGTAGATTATTGAGTCAATTTCATCGTCTGCCGAAAAATGTGTTGTCTGACATTGAGATCTCGGTTAGTCCAGCTGTTTTAGCTAAACTTCGGGTAATTAAATGTTCTGTTATTAATGATAAAGCGATACTGGGGAGAAGAAAATTAGTAAAGAAGCTTCTCAAATTGAATTTAAATTCTGATAATCGTATTCCAATATAGGTATTCACCGGTATCGGTATACCGAATACCGAAAATACCGAACTTCGGTATATACCGATACCGAAAATACCGACTTTTTTTGACTTGGAATTTTTTGGATTTTTTAATTTGAAATTTAGAAAGCAAACAAAGCTCTTGTTTTCCGTCCCTGATTCATTCTGGGTGTCCAGGACGCTAAAACATCTCATTTCAAATGAAAAAATCCAAAAAATTCTAAGTGAAAAAAGTCGATATTTTCGGTATCGGTATATACCGAAGTTCGGTATTGTCGGTATCGGTATTTCGGTATGAATACCGGTACCGGTGCATACCTATTCCAATACAAAATAGTAGTAGTCCTATCATGAATTATTCAAAACGTATTTTATCAAATGATGAACAGAAAGTTCTCCTTAATGATCTTATACACGTTTATCCTTCTACTTCATCGAATAGAATGGATTTGATTACTAATGTTGAATATTTTTATACAAAATTATTAGGGTTTAAAACTAAGCACCGTGATTATGAGCATAAAGATAATGATGAAACTATTTCTTATAAGTTAACGTCTGCCCAAATAAGTGGTGCGATGAGACTGCGACAGATGACAAATAGGTTTATTCATAATACATAATATGAATTATATCATAATCGGTCTGCACATAATAATTATAAGAAAGCATTAAAAAGTTTGTCTGCTGATAAATCTATTATTATCTGTTAGCCAGATAAGGGTAAATGCATCGTTATTCTTGATAAAAGTGAGTATATTGAGAAAAGTAAAAGAAAATTCATGATTTTCTTTTCTTTTCTATTCTGATCAGTAGTAAAATTGCAAGTATATATAGACCAGTTTTATCATTCTGTTTATCTAAATTTTAAATTGTAACTGTATATAGTTTGTATTTCACTTTTGAAGATGACTCTATGAAGAGTCGAAAACGTCAAGATAAATTTAAATTATTAAATAAAATAAATGACTGCTACTGTACAAAAATTTATTTTTAAAATTCATAACGACAGAAGTTTGCTGAAAATGTTTTTTATGCATTTTAACAGTTACGTAATCATCAATTTTATGTACATTGTAAAATCGGAAATTATTTATGGAAAATGCCTGGCGATTTACAAAAAGTCAATACAATGTTCTGATTAAAACTAGTTTACACAGAGGACATTTGTCTGAAGAATTACATATTCTGTCAAAAAGAATCTAAAGTTATGTACGGAGTGAAGTAGAAGTAGAAGAAGAGGAAGTACGCTAAATCACTGTTTTTAAGACAAATTTTAAATTAATTATTCATCAGTATATTAATTAATTTAAAAATCAATATTCATCGGTATATTAAAGTTTTATTTCAGTTTAGAACTAATTTTTTCTAAGACTAGATATCTCAGTATTGGGAGTTCCACCTTTTAGCATCTTTAGATGCTACCCTGCCAAGATTTTTATAGACAATCAAATTCGGATTTCCAGAATGTAGAAAAGCGAGCTCAAATGTTCATATTTTTAGAAATTCCAGAACTATTTTCTGACTGAACAGAAAATACAATTTATGGTGAATCGAATCGATTTTCTATAAACGGGAAATACATTATATCTTGAGTCAAAATCAAATTACTGTAACCGTAAATAAGCTATTGCGGATTTCTTCTTATTATTTCAAGAATGTAATCCGGTTGTTGGTGTAAGGTGATTCTTTCAATTGTTTAACTAAACTTATTGTTTCTTGTACCTATGAGTATATCAAAGTTAACATATTTTTTAATTTAGTGTAACATTCTGTATATGATAAATGCTTGTCAATGACCGAATAGATAGATAGAAAGTTTGTGTATTGTAAAATTTCAATTTTTCTAATTTTGATAAATTCTTGAGTTTGAATGAAAATAAGAGTGTATTAGTCACAATTATTTTTAAATTTTTATTCCACTTGCATATTTTTATATTTTGCTCATTTCAGATACATAATGCATATCAAACCTATTAACCGATAATTATTTCTGCGGAATGGCTACTGCCATTTTTGTTTTTTTTTACTCGATACTTTTCGCTGCTCGAGCTTCTTTTGCACATTTTTTATCCATTTGGCTGGTGAAAAAGAAATATTTTTCAGTTATTGGGGGACGGTACCCCCATCACCACCAGTTCCCATGCTAAAAACATCTCTGCTCCTTGGTCACACCTCTAGAGGTGCCCTTATTTCTGAAGATAATGGGATTTCTGTCGTACTTCCCAGACATCCACAGAAATAAACTATATACATACGCAGATAAATTTTAATTCTTTGTTACTTCTCCAGAATTTTCTTCAGTGCTAACTCCTGATTTCTGAGCCACGTTCTTCGCTAAAGCAGACCTTTTGTTATAGTGAGCAATTCTTTCATGGCGAGCATGCTCTTTAAAAAAATTCGAAGTAAAACATGGCGTAATCATGATTGAAAAGCGATAGAAAATGCGGAAGAGTGTATACATGATCTTGTTGTAGAAAGGGGTTAAATTCTCGGGCATATACACATATATTTCAATTAGCTGTTAAAATAAAGAAAATGAGTTAATGAATCATTATCTTTCATGCTTAGCACCGTTTCTGTGGCCTGTGCACATTTATTTTTAATTAGCAGAGTGTGTTTTCTTTGATCTATTTTGGACTGACGATATGCGCAAGAACGGTTTGAATTTAATTTTTATATAAAATGTTGACCAAAATTACCAATATCTCGTTCTGGATATAGGACATCCAACGCTACTGTCGTGCGCGTAATTTAACCCGAAGTCTGGCGCCCTTCAAATGTTGAAACAATACTGAACTCTGCCAAAAAATGTTTCGTTCTTCTATCAGTACTTCATCTCACCATTTTCACCTTCTATTTACACTCAGTAAATATAACCAACTGATAAGAGAGAGATTCACACATATCATTTTTCATAATTTTTTTCTCATTTTTATTTGATACTCACGATGGTTAAGAGAATTCTAGTTTCTGGTGCGTCCGGTCTCGTTGGTGGTATACTAATTGAACATCTATCAAAAAACCCCAACTATGATATTTATGGTATCGATAAGCATATTGAATTATCGATACGTTATCAACTTGAAAATACACCAATATCAGAAGGGCAACAACCAATATTACCACCAAAAGAAAAATTTTATGTATGTGATATCATCGATAAAGATAAACTTTCACATATTATCCAAGATAATAAAATCAATATTATTATTCATTTAGCGGCCGTTTTAGAAACAGAAACGGTTGAAAAAATTAATCATATTAATTGTAATGGTACTAAAATTTTATTTGATATAGCAACAAAGCAAGAGCATGTTGAAATGATTATTTATGCGAGTTCAGTAATGACCATTTATGGCTATTTAGAAAATGAACCTTATTCATCATTACTAAAAAATATTCGACCACAGGAAGCATTAAAAAAGATAACACTCAATGATCCACCGATACCATCACATTTAAATCCATCTTTTGAAGCATATTGTATGAGTAAAATATATGGTGAAAAATTAGCTAGACAATATTCATCAACTGATGGAAATGTTAAATTTGTTTGTGTAAGATTGGGTTGGATAAATACAACTGATGATGTAACGTCTGATTTATATGATTGGTCAGATAAGTCAGTATGGTGTAGTCATCGTGATTTATGTCAATTTTTTGATCGAGTATTAGAAAATCAATTGAAAATGAAACAATTTCAAATTTATTTTGTTTCTTCAAATAATGATTATTGTTGGTTTGATATGGATAATGGTAGAGAAGATTTAAATTATGTTCCCCAAGACGGTGCTAAATGGAATGAGACATAAACGAAAATGTGATCTGCGCCATTTTTTGTTTATTGTAGTTTAAAAAGCATAAAGCTGTTAGTGAAACAAAACCTGTTTTTTGATGCCACTGGAAATAGATAAAATAACAACTTTTTGTGACCGTCGGTAACAAGCTATAGCTATCGAAAAGAGAGAATTGAAAAATAAATCTTCGAGCTTTTATCCACAAGAGATAAGTCTGGTAAATTACTATCGGCGCCAGAAGTCAAGACAGATGGATGTTTTTTGAATAACTTTTGATAGGAATAAGATAGAGACCTGCGATTTTCGCTGTTCGATAGTCAAAACTTGAGCGGAACTTTTCATAAGCGGAGACAACTTCTGAAAAAATTTCAAAGATCGGGTTTCCAGAGGGTTTTTGGAAAACCAGCTCCGTTCTCAGAAAACTACAACAACACTACCAAACTTGGTAATCTTTTTGCATGGATAGATAGTCCGGACGTTACTCTACAAAATTATGCAAGTCCCGGCTCTCTAGCTATCGTCGTATCGCTTTCTCCGAGCACGTGTCAATCTCCGAGCAGACATCTCGCGGAATCTCGAAATGCCATGGAATATAGGTAATCGACTACGCTGAGCACAGTGGCAACATTTGTTTTTGTGTAGAAATGAATATAAATTCGCCAGAGAAATTTTTTTAAAAAGCCGGTTTTTCGACTGTTACTAGCAAAAATTAAAATCCTTTTATCTCTATCAAATCTCATGTTGACTCAAGGAAATTTTCAGGAAACGTTCAGGACAGCTCATACAGCATAATCGAACATGAAAAAGGTGAATTTTAGTCGAGCATTGGTTTAAGGTTTCCCAGAAACGTTCTGAAAACCTCAAAGCATCAGTGTTCTGTTAGACCACTTTTTCGGCGTGGTCAACAATGTGTGGCACCTTTTAAGTCTTTTCTAAAAGATGTGAAAAGTTCCGCTCAAGTCTTGGCTATCGACCAGCGAAAATCGCAGGTCTCTATCTCATTTCTATCAAAAGTTATTCAAAAAACATCTACCTGTCTTGACTTCTGGCGCTGATAGTAGTCAAAGTTTAGAGCTACTAATCATAAAACTTTTATTTCGATCTGTAGCAGACACGATCACTAACTAACTTTACTCCACAACAGTGCCGTGTTTTCAGGTTGTGTACTCTACACAACCTGGACTTGTGTACTCTACACAACCTGGACTTGTGTACATTACTCAGTTTTCTGAACCATTGATTCTTAATTGAAGATAGTATAGTGTAGATTAGATAACCGTTCCTTGAATCACCAACATCTCGATCTTCTTAAACTATGCTAGTCGGGTATGGCCAATTCAAAAATGGCCAAGAGTTACCTATGGGTGCGAGCCTACTGTCTGCAGTTTATATTTCTTAACTCCTTTCTATGTTCTCTTGCCTGTAAGTAGTCACATAAAACAAATGTCGGCGATTATTTGCACAAAGAAAAAAACGAAATTCCAGTCGTAGCAAAGGACTAGCAGGGATACATATAGCGGATTATTGAAAATTATAAGTCAGAAAATGACGGTAATAGCGCCATAATGAAGGTCCTTCTAAACTACGAAAGAATTTTGAAATTTCATAATAGTCATCGAGTTTCATGGATAGAAACAATGCTGAATTTCCAAAAATAGAGTCAAGAATGTAATTCTCGCAATTCTTTGTCTGTTGTTTTGTGGTACAGTTCATGTGATGATGACCGTGAAGGTTGAAAATTCACAATAATAAAACATAAAAGTGAAATTAAAAGCAGCTGCATTAGCCATTATATTTGTTATAAAAAAATCGTTGCCCAATCAAAATATTGATTCATACAAAAAATTTATGCTGCGATTTTTAACACCTGTTTTCCTGCCTCAGTTCGCAGTGTTAAAGACTAAATGCAACTGATTTTTGAAAATTGAAAGAATAATGTACTGTCAAATAATACTCATTTTATGTGTACTACCTGGTACACTGGCTGATCCATTTGAATTTCTGCCGAGAGTTATGTTACCAAAATCGACACCGTTTAAATTCACGTATAACGGACTAACTTTTGGTGCAGAATCTTCCGGTACCTGGTTTGTTGAACCTGTCTGGTTCGATGACGAACTTATTGGATATCGTAACTGGCAACAGATAGTGGGCAATTACTCTGGTATTTTTTACGGTGTCTCATATCTCAATGGAAGTTATATACAATCAACTATTAATCCCGTTGATGGCACATGCTCGTATATCTTTAATGAAACACTCAACTGCACAGGATGGCAATATGAAAGCGTACAAATTTCTAACAATACATGTGATATTAAACGAGTACACACTGACATTAAAGCACAAATGAAACTTTTAGTCAGTTCGACAATAATTGATTCGACTGTGCCGTTGAATTCGACTACTGTAGTAACCATAGGTGATAGCAGTGACGAGATGGTAGTCACTATGAATTTTCTGAAGAAAGAAGTTAATGCAACAATGCCTACAGTTCATTGCCCTTTTTAATCGATCACTTATCAGTTCATCGACAAAACAAATCGAGTATGTGTAAGAAAACATATGTATTTTGTTTTCAAATAAAAGATCAGTTGTTTATATAACTGTTTCACAATACATATGCCGGTCCGAGTTTAATTGCCGCTACGGTAGATGTATGTTTGGAAAAGGAATTCGTGATGTTTTACAAGCTAGATTTCAAAGTTTAACTGCTTAAATGAAAAAGACACTGACTCGAAGTTGAATTTACTTTGTGAGAGATATATAATCCTTCAATATTTTATTCTATAACTGAATAATTTTAAGAGATGTTCTTTAGAAGATCAGAACAAGATATTTATTGTCCTGAATATTCATCATCAGCATTGATAAGATACCTATAGGTGGACACTGACAATCGGGATACCCAAATATACTGTTCACTGTAAAACGAGAAGACGGATGAAATGTCTGAAAAAGACCGTGGTACTTCTAATCTAGACACTTCAGTCACTGCTTTATTGGTTAAAAATATCAGAAAAATTAGACACATGGATCGTTTTCGTTGGAGAGAAAATGAGTAAGTTTAAACACGTACTCATCTAATCCTTTTTCTGAGTGACTGTTTTAAGTTAATCGTTCAGACTGGTTTCAAGCGTGTTATTTAGACGTTTCAAGCACGGAAAACCAACATTTGTCTGTTTACATCTGATATTCAAGAAAAATACGAGAAAACAAGCAAGTTTTGCCCAAAACAAAAAGTTTAAGTATCGAAAACGACTTCAGCCTTCAACTCAGTTGCTCTTAAGCTATTTTCCTGAGCTATACTCATGAGCTCCAAAATGTATTATTGAAAACTGTGACAGTTATAGAATCACCAAGAAAAACGGATTTTCTGTATAAGGATTTGTAAACATCTTTTGAAAGGGTGGAGTATTCAAGCAATTTTTCAAGAAACATGTAATCTATACAATCTTTCACGCTCTTTCTAATGATGTATTTAAAACTGAATTTTATTTTCCTTTAAGGTTAATATTGACCTTAACTTTTAAATTTCTGACTCAATTTTAAACCGAAGGATAAAGTATTTTCTCCAAATCTACTGTCCCTAGTGGAAACCTTACTCAGATCTGACTAAGATCTTAGAAAAATCTTGTTAAGATCTTAGTAAGATTTCGCTTACATTTGCTTAAGATCTTAAACAAATCTTACTAAGATCGTGAGAGCCGAAAATTCTAAGATTTTTCTAAGATCTGAGACAAATGTAAGCGAAATCTTACTAAGATCTTAATAAGATTGTACTGTCTAAGACTTTTTCAAGATTGGATGAGAATATATTAGGATCTTAATAGTAAGAACGATAACGTTTTTTAAATAATGTTCATTCGAGATTCACTGAACATTTTTCAAGTTTTAATCCGCATTATCCTAGTTGAAGAATGAAGAGAAATTTCATATTTTCACGTGTCCAACTATGGACCTTGACCTGCATGTACACTCTCTAAAAAGTTGTTGAACACTTTCGAGAGAGCAAGTACCAGCAGAGTCAGGAAGAAAAATAAGCGTATAATCACTCATATTTTCGGTTACTTATATAGATGAACGAGAGCAACACAAAAGGGTGAATGAAAGCAGAGTCATTATATCTTATTAAGACCTTAAACGATAAGATCGTAGATTATCTTATCAAAATCTTAATGGATAAGGTCTTATAAGATCTTAGTAAGATAATGTTAAGAAGTGTCTAAGATTTTTACTAGGGGTTTATCTTGTAGCTAAGAATCTGATTTTTCGAACGATTTTCTTGACAAAATTTTATTAATGTCGTAGAGTGTTTATTGGCAAGATTAAAGCGAAAGTCTGCGAAAATCAACTTAGTTTTTGTCCGCTACTTCACGACAAACGTTACCTTACAGGAATATCTCACAATTAAACGGCATCAAACATCGACTTTTACTCTGAAATTAGATTTCAATTACATGTTGTGCCAAAATTGAGTACAACAAGGAAAGTAGACCTCCTCACAAGTAATCAAGATAAAGATTTTATAATGCAAAAGATCATCTGGAGAAAAACTTAAGACGCTGGCTACTATCCATACCAAAAAGCGATGCAGTCCATCACTGATGCAGTCCTCACTGGAAATAACGAGACCTGCAGTTCTAGCCAAAAATTAAAACGCATTCTTGTTCTTTTTATCCAAGATTTTGTGCTACTTTGTCTTGTTTTGCTACCTCTTTCTTTAATGATCAGTTTAAGAGTGGAAAAAACAAACCTAATAAACAGATTTGTAGAAATTAAACTATAACTGTTGGTCAGCCTATAAAAGGCACTTTATCCATTTTTTCCCCTGATTGTCTTCTTACGCACTAGGGTCCGGCGGGATGAAGTTTTTTCGTCCCGATCCCGGTCCCGTTCCAACTGGACTAAACCCGTCCCGATCCCGATCCCGCCCCAACTGGACGAAGCCCGTTCCGATCCCGAACTCTTTTCTTAACGGGAAAATCCATCCCGGTCCCGTTTAAACCCGTTTT